GAGGCAGTTTCTTATTTGCAACTGAGAGCAATTGGATTGAAGGAAAAAGTACTTAGCTTAAGAGGCAGTTTCCAGGAAACTGGAGAGTTCAAATTAATCAGTTCCTTAGGGGAAGGAGCAGAAGTCCGTTTAACAATCCGAGGTCGAGGAGTGGAGAAGGAGGGTAGTCGTTTTCAGAGCGGTTTCGGTACACGGAGGAGCTTCAATTGAAATTGAGTAGCCGGTAAGAGGTTCACAGGCACTTGTTCAATAATCCAGCAACTTGAATCTGGCGCGGTCTTCCTATGTAGCGTGGGGAGACCGCGTCAGAGAAGGGGCGGGGCAGAGCTCCGTCAACCCGGAAGTCACTTAATTCGGCGAAACCGGCAGATATAACCTGACAAGGACAAACTGGATGCCGAGGTTCGGCGGGGGCGGATCGCAAGCCCCTGTGATTCCCCCACTTTTCATAATTTAAGGGCCCCCCACACCCTGGGTTTGGTTCCCAAAAAGTAACCGGGGGCTTCAAGGTTGATTCAGCAACTGTCATACCCAGTGGTGGGTCGGTCATTGACGACATTGACAAGGAAGTGTGTAGGGTGCGTTTCGCTTAGTTTGACTTGACGTTGCAGCTGGTCCGGCGGGCGGAGGGGCGTTGTTGGCAAAATCAGATATAGAGTCCGCTTTTCGACTGTTGCCTGTACACCTGGCTTGTTTTCATTTGTTGGGGTGTTTTGTTAAATGGTTTTACTACTATGACATGTGCATGCCGATGGGCTGTGCCATTTCCTGTTATTATTTTGAAATGTTTGCTTTGTTTTTGGAGTGGGTAATGGCATGTGAGTTGGGTTTGGGGTCCTTGACTCATTACTTGGACGATTTCCTGTTCATCAGCCCTGCTGGTTCACCAGATTTTTTTTTCTTTGTTGCAGGCTTTCCGGCATGTGGCGTCCGATTTTGGGGTTCCGGTCTGGTGTTGGTCTTGTCATTCTTAGGTATCAAAATCGACTCTGTTCGGATAGGGAACCCTATCACTACATCCAGGTAACGTTGTGTTTGCGGGCGAATTTGCTGGTAGGGATTTCCTTCCTCAGCTGTTACAACAGGCACGCCTGCTGGTTGAGGGAAGCTACCTGTGGTGAAAGTGACCTTGCCACTGGTTGTTGGAGAGGCCTGTTTGTCCGCCTCCTACCTTCTGACTATGGCCCCTCAGAGATTGTGCCGTTTAACAACAGTCTTGGGGCTTATGGACTTGTATTGGACCATGCTGGCCCTTTAAGAACCATCTGGGGACATATTGAAACTTTGTGTGACAATGCCCCTTTAAGACTATGTCTCCAAACCTTTAAAATCCTTTGTGCATGGCTTTCTCCCACTTGGTTCAGTAAAAGGGGCTTACTGAACCAAGTACTATACAGGTGGACCACCCAGAAGTGGAAGCGTGCAGGCAATTTACCTTCCAGGCTGGGAGCCTGCTGTAGGTAAATTGCCGACTGCTGGGTGACCGCCGTTTGTACAGATGAACACGTGACGGTGGCCATCTTTAATTCAGCTGAAGTTTTACCTTCTCCAGACTTCAATGCATTTGACAATTCGAACACCGTTTGACAGTTCATTTGACAATTTGAATGGTTGTCATTCGTCTGTTTGAACTGACTTTAACATGGGAAATAGACCGGCTGCAAAGCCTGAATCTCTGGAACTGTTTTGGGCATGAAAATGTGTCACAAAGGACTTCCGACTAACTTTTTATATACTGGAGGGATTTGTATGATTTTTGAGAGTGTTCATATTTGAAGTATGCTGAGTAAGAATATGTGATTTTTATGAAGATTGAATGTATAGTTTTAAAGTTACAGTACATGTGTAAAAAGGATATTTTTTCCTGCCTATGATATTTACATTAACCCATTGTGTTTAGTAATTATATCACAGGTAGAGGGGAGAATTTTGTGGGAATGAATGGGAGTGTTTGACTATATATTACGAGTTTGATTGGTTGTTCTTCTAAACCCTGTGGGCGGTACTATGTGTGTAAAATGGGCATAAAAGCAGAGTGTTTAAAACTTCAGTTCTTCTTCACTCTAAATCTAGAGTCCTGTCTCTTATTGGGGGTAACCAGCTATATCATTACAAGGGATTGCTATGCTCTGCATGCTCCCTTGGACAATCACTTCTAAGCTCTTTTAAGAGCTTGTTCTGGTTTCCCTCTCTTGGAGGAGAGGTTCACCCACTGGAGCCTGGAGCCTTGTTGTAGGTCCAGGGTGGGAAGGAGATGGCGAGACCCCAAACAAGCTACGGCAGTTCGTGGGGGTCTGCGATGGTTGTGGTGTCTGGCAGAGCGCTTGGAGCCCTCTTGAAGCGCTAGGAGCATCCAGTAACGGAGGTACCCAGTCAGGGTGCCAGGCGGTCCATTACACTACCCCCAACTCAGCGTTGGATCACTTCACGAATGCATCTGGGTCCGTCGGTTTGGGGCGTACTTCCGGGGCCAGTGATGTGCGGGAGCGTGGCCTAATGAATGGCATTCCTCAGCGCTTGTACAGAACTTGTCGTTTTTTGAGTTGTTTCCCATAGTGGTCTCCCTGTAACTATGGGGTGAGGACCTCGCAAGGTGGTCTTTCACACGGACAACATGAGTGTTGTCCATGTGATTACACGGTCGTCTTTGTCCTCTCCTCCAGTTTTGGCACAGCTGCGGCGTCTGGTCCTGCTCAGTTTGCAATTTAATGTGTGGGTTAAGGCTTGTCATGTCCCGCGGGTGGAGAACATGGTAGCTGATGCCTTGTCTCAGTTGCAGTGGGATCGGTTTCGGGAGGCAACACCAGAAGCTCAGCTGTTCAGTAGGATTTGCCCAGAGTCCTTATGGAGTCTCGATTTAGAGGCTTGATGGGCTTGGTGATGGATTCCTTGGCAGAGTCCTCTTGGAGTGCATACCAATCAGAGTGTTGTTATGAGTCAAATTACACAGCGTGGGAAAATTCCTAAGAACTTTCCCACGCTGTGTAAAATGACACAGAGCACTCTGATTGGTGGATTTCAAGCTAATCAGAGTGCTAATCAGAGTGCTGTGATAGATAAATGTAGAGCCTTTTTTGGGGCTGAAAAAAGATTTTAGAAGAAAGAAAACATCAACTCTTTTTTACAGGTACTTAGTTAATGGTGCTCCCCTCATTATTTTTAGGGTGAGGGAGGTAGGTAGGGGTTAATTTTTTTGGGAGGGGGTGGTTACATTTTTATTTAGGGCCCACACCCGCCACTCGGAGGTGGGGGCCAGGGGGGAGGTCAATAGGTCCCCCTCTTTATTCTAATTCAGGGGCCCCACAAACCGCTCAGGGGTGGGGGCCAGGGCGGAGGACATTAGGTCCCCCCCTTATTCTAATTTAGGGCCCCCACACACCCTTCAGGGGTGGGTGGCCAGGGGGGAGGACATTAGGTCCCACCCCCCATTGGTATTTAGGGCCCCACCCACCACTCAGGGGTGGGGGTCAAGTGGGAGGACATTAGGTCCCACCCCCTAATTGGTATTTAGGCCTCCAACCCACCGCTCAGTGGTGGGGGCTAGGGGGGAGGGCCAGGTTGGGACATTAGGTCCCCTCCTTAGTTGGTATTTAGGGTCCCCACCCACCGATCAGGGGTGGGGGCCAGGGGGGAGGACTTTAGGTCCTCCCCCATTTATTCTAATTTAGGACCCCCACCCACCGCTTATTGTTGGGGGCCAGGGGGGAGGACAATAGGTCCCCCCCTTATTCTAATTTAGGGCCCACACCCACCACTCAGGGGTGGGGGCCAGGGGGAGGACAATAGGTCTCCCCTCTTATTGGTATTTAGGGCCCCCACCCGCTGCTCAGGGGTGGGTGCCGAGGGGGAGGACAATAGGTCCCCCCCCATTATTTTACTTTGGGGTCTCCCCTTTAATTTAAAAGGTCTCCCCTTTAATTTAAAAGCCCCCACTCGCATGGCACGGGTGGGGGCTCGGAAGGGGGGACTCACTGCTCACTGTTTAATAGACATGCCCCTACTCGCGTTATACCGAGTAGGGGCAAAATTTACTAATACTAAGTAATTTTTCTTAGTATTAGTAAATTTGGTTGAAAGACCAATTTAGGTATTTCAGCCTTTTGCTAGATAACTCCCTAATACTGTGGGAATTAGGGAGTTATCTACTAAGCGGCTGCAAGAGAAGTCCCGAAGTGTCGAGGTGCCGAACCGAACTGAAGTGCCGAAGTTCCGAATTCCCGAATTTCGGAATGCCGTAACAAAAATTTTACCCATGCACATGCCTACTGCAAACTCACAAGAGGTGCTTTTAATAAGAATTCATTGGCCATTATTTTATTTTATTTGGATTATGCTTTCTGCATGTGCCACATTACTGTATGTTAGCATATCTATATGTACCCCATATGATGACTAAGCCTTTGGATTTTCACTTTGTAAGCCCTGTACTCATTATGTCTTGTGAACCTCAATTTATCACTGTTGTTTCAATCTAATACTTTGTATGATATTTCTTCTGATTTACTGAAAAAATATATATTTTACAAGAACAATGTATCTTATTTACACAAACTGTTCTAAACACATTTATTAAAGTTTGAAGTCACATTACTGGGAGTATTAATAATGTGGAGCTCTTTTACATAACCATTGACACAGCAACAATATGGAGCTCCTGGAAAGGAGGGAACGTAGGATAGAAAAGCGGGACAGAGGGATTTGGACTCAAAATAGGGACAGTCCCTCCTAAATAGGGACACTTGGCAAGAGTTCCTGTAGGTCTCTAAATCTGGAATAAAGTCTACAGCGATGGCTTGGAATATGGTGTATTGAATCAAACATAAAGCTTGTGAAAGTGGTATACCACCCCAGCGGATATACACAAGTTTGTTCCCGAATCTTCTTCCTTATGTTAGAGGTGTCATTCTAATAAGGGCACATTCCAACATATATGGTGGTCGTGCAGTGTAGTATCAGACATTTGGAAAGAAGTCTGGAATACGGTTAATCTGGTAACAGATATGTCCATACCCTTCAACCCAGAAGCACTTCTCCTATTCCGCTTTGAAATCCCACCCCATCAAATTAAATACTCCCTCATCTACTTCATGTTGACAGCAGCCAAAAGCACAATAGTAAACAAGTGGAAATCAGCGACCCCGCCTACCAAACAAGATTGGTATGTCAAAAAAGAACACTTCCATGAGATGGAGGAACTGAGATGGGGATCCCTAGATAAGTACCATAGATATCATGACATTTGGCAACCATGGAAACACTTCATGGGGGGGACACACATAAGACTAGGCTAACACAATACCACATCGACCCAACTGGGACTCCGCAGATTAGATCGGAGAGGGGGTAGAACGATAGAACAGGGAATACGGGGGGGAACGGGTGACAGCGCCCTCTCCCCCACGGTTCAAATGCGACTTACTAGTGGGTTCAAGGGCAGGGCGACCCTTAGACCAAACATGGGGTTCGGAGGAGCGGGATGGTTGCGGGATATAATAGATGTGCAAATATTACGAATGTAGGCCAAATACCAATGTTATAGATGATGTGATTCATGTGTGTAACTGCGCGATGTTGGGATGCTATATGTTAATAGTTCCTTTTTTCTGTATTGTAACTCATTGTTATATCTGAACTCTGTACTGTAATGACACAGGAGTTACAACAAAAAAGCCAATAAAATAAAAAGCTTGTGAAAGTGAGTTGATTTTGTGACAATAATTTAAATCTAAATTCCCCTGTAGTGTTCCATACATACAGAGAAAAAAGTAATTTTATCATTTCCACAGACACATTGTGTTCAGACATTCTTTTTAAGAATTCAGAACATCAGATTTTATTGTGATGTCACTGACCAGCTGTTCAGAGAACCCAGATCCTGCTGGTTTTACCAGCATTTCATGAGCATTTCTAATGCAGTGAGATACTTTTAAAAATACCAAGAGTATGGGAAATTATATATCTATATTTCAAAGCCCCCTGGTCCCACGGCTGTGGGATATACAACCACCATCCAGGAGGGTCATTACTGATAAAGAATGTATAACACAGCCTTCGATGAACAGGTTAGTGGATAGTTGCAGCTGGTATCACTATAGAGTTATGTGGCGGTGGGGGTTTACATGTAACAGGGTTTAAAATGAAAGTTGTGACTTTATTGATTATTAGTTTTATGATTTTTTTCACTAGGCTCATTATGAAATCAATGAATGATTACTATAGTAATTAAAATTATAATGATCAGAATACCTATGTGACTTTATTAATCACATTTTCTTCCTTAATTAGGATACATCGAAAAGAAAATAAACCCCAAAGCATACCTCTAGGGGGCAAATGGTGTCGTGGACAGAGCCATGAAAAAACGGCTTACTGCAGCCACATGAAGGCTAAACCATGGACCAAGAGTCTGCTTGATGACATAGATCAGACAAGTGTTTGGAAGCTCAGGTAAATGTACATGACACACAGAATGACTGACTATAACGCTATAAGGTTATCTAAACCAACCCACAGTGTCCTCAGTGAACCAGAACCCTACTTCTAACACTCGCTGTCTGTGTAAGCAAGAAGCCAGTGAGAGAAGTATTGCAGCGAATAACTTAACTGGTTTCTCTAAATCAAAGTCACAAATTGCTTGAGACTACTACTGCAATATGACTCTCCAGACATCGCCTAATTTCATTACGGAATGTATTTTACTGTAAACAGAAACTTATTGTAAAAGAAATCATTCCGTAAAAACAACACAACCAATATGTGATCACTGAAAAGACAGGTGCTATCATAATGTTATTATAAATGGAGTATGATTGACAGATAGAGAAGGACAGGGCATCCGATGGAGAGTAGGGATAGGATGTATGATGTGAGGAAGAGAGAGAAAGAGAGAGGATGGATTGATAAATGGAAAGGAAGAAAAGAACACAACTACTGACAGTATTTTGTTTTGTAACAATTTCTTTATTGAAAGTTTTGTTCACATACAAATATGTCAGTACATAGCAAGACTGGTACCATCATGTTTTAGCAAAAGTTCAAAAAATACAATAATGCATTTTCCACTGAGGTGTACGTGTAACAGTGCTTTGTTTCAAATATAACGGAAAGCAAATCAGAAATAATGAGAAAACTGCAAATTAAACCATCTAAATTCATAAACGCCTGCTATAGTGTAAAAATCATGTCTCCTACTTGCTTCTATGTTCTCTGAAATATATTCTGGGAATATGCAAACTCAAGAACTCTTTGTATCCCCATTGTACCTTTTATTGATACCCATTTGGGCTTAAGATCTAACTGTAAAGCAATAAAGTGAATAGGTGAGAGCAAACACACAGAATGGTAAAATACTACCACTTTAAAATCTTGAATGGTAAATGGTAGCTGTCAGATATATATTGCTGAGCCTATTCCTGGCAGGCTCAGACTTTCAATGCTCTTCAATATATAACCTCCGGATTGCTGCTTACTGGATCTGCTTACTCCCAAGAACGTGACTTCCAAACTTGCATAAGTGGAAAATACACTATTTATTGGGCACACAGTGCGATATGTAAAACAGCAAGATCAAAATAAGTTCAAAAATTAAGCACAGTGATATTGATATTTGTATTGATATCAAAATACACTTAGAACAAAATAATCTATATACATAAATATATATGTATATATCACTATATATATATATGTATATATATATATACACGTGTGTATATATATATATATATATATATATATATAAATAAAAATAAAATATAACAAAAAAACCTATTGCCCCCACCCATGTGCGACGGGTGGGGGCCCTAAATAAGAATGTGGAGGGGGAGACCTACTGTCCTCCCCCCCAGCTCCCACCCCTGAGCGGCGGATGGGGGCCCTAAATAACAATAAGGGGGGACCTACTGTCCTCCCCCCACCCCTGAGTGGTGGGTGGGGGCCATAAATAAGAATTAGGCGGGGGAACCTACTATTCTCCCCCCCTGCCCCCACCCCTGCGCGGCCGGTGGGGGCCCTAAATAACAATAAATTCCAAAGAACTTTCCCACGCTGTGTAAAATAACACAGAGCACTCTGATTGGTGGATTAAGTAACCAATCAAAGTGTTATGAGTCAAAGTACACAGCGTGGGAAAATTCCAAAGAACTTTCCCACGCTGTGTAAAATGACACAGAGCACTCTGATTGGTGGATTTCAAGCCAACCAATCAGAGTGCTGTGACAGGTAAATGTAGAGACTTACCTGTCAGTCTCTTCATTTAACTGTCAGAGCACTCTGATTGGATGGCTCAGAGTGCTCTGAGCCTAATCGCAGGGCGGGGCAAGGCTTTAAAAGTCTTCCCCCGCCCTGTAGAGCTCAGTCTGCGTGGAACCCTCTATGGGTGAAAATTGATTTTCTTTTTTGGGGCTGAAAAAAGAATATTTTAGAAGAAAGAACTTTTTTAACACGTATTTTGACAAGGGTCCCCCTCATTATTTTTACAATGAGGAGGGTAGGTAGGAGTAATTTTTTTGGGGGGGAGCGGGGGGACTAGGGTTTTGGGGACCCCTAGTCACCTGGGGGGGGATTTTTATTTAGGGCCCCCACCCCCCACTTAGGGGTGGGGGCCGGGGGGGAGGACATTAGGTTCCCTTCCTCCAATTTTTATTTATGGCCCCCCCACCCACCGCTCAGGGGTGGGGGCCATGGGGGAGGACATTAGGTTTCCCCCCCCAATATTTATTTATGACCCCCACCCACTACTCAGGGGTGGGGGATACGGGGGAGGACATTAGGTCCATCACACTTTTTATTTAGGACTGTAGGTTCCCACCCTTATTGTTATTTAGGCCCCCCACCCACTGCTCAGGTAGTTTAAAAGCCCCCACTCTTGCTTCGCGGGTGGGGGCTCAAGAGGGGGGGATTTTTTTTTATTTTAACAGTCACTTTTTAATAGACATACCCCTACTAGCTGGGTCACATGCTGCACTGGCCAATCACAGACATGCCATTAGTAGGCATGGCTGTGATGGCTTCTAAGGGCACACGAGTCAAACGCTTTCAAAATGCGTCATTAAATCGCTGAACACCGAACTCCAACCGAGCATACAGTGATATGTCCGTGCTCGGGTCCGGGGTCCAAAAAACGTAATGTTCGGAACGAACCCGAACTTTTCAGTTCGGGTTCACTCAACTCTACTCCTGAGTAAAACAGTACCCCTTATATACAGGTTTTATGGTGTTTTCAAAAGGTACAGAGTCAAATATAAGGCTTGTGTTTCAGTTTTTTCACATTGAATTTTACTTTGAAATTTTCCAGATTGGTTACGTTGCCTTTGAGACTGTATGGTAGCCCAGGAATGAGAATTACCCCCATAATGGCATACCATTTGCAAAAGTAGACAACCCAAGGTATTGCAAATGGGGTATGTCCAGTCTATTTTAGTAGCCACTTAGTCAAAAGCACTGGCCAAAATTGGTGTTCAAATTCGTTTTTTGCATTTTTCACACACAAACAAATATTAACGCTAACTTTGGCCAGTGTTTGTGACTAAGTGGCTACTAAAAAAGACTAGGTTGCAATACCTTGGGATGTCTACTATTGCAAATGGTATGCCATCATGGGGGTAATTCTCATTCCTGGTCTACCATATGGTCTCAAAGGCAAGGTAACCAATCTGGTGAATTTCAATGTGAAAAAAACTGAAAAATTTAACATGCTATATTTGACCCTGTAACTTCCCAAAACACCATAAAACCTGTACATAGGGGGTACTGTTTTACACGTGAGACATCGCTGAATACAAATATGTGTATTTTATTGCAATATTATGATATTCAAAGTTAAAATGTCATGCAGAACTAAAAAAATAACATTTCTTAATTTCTCAAATTTACTTTTATATTTTATTCATATTAAATTATGTTGCATAGCTAAATATTTGATGTTAAAGAAAAGCCCTGTTTCTCCTGAATAAAATTATATTTAATAGGTGTGGGTGACCTTAATATAAAAGAGGTGAATTACGGTTGAACAGACATATAGTCAAATTCCAAGTTTTGTTTACGTTTTATTTTGATCAAAACCTGCACGTTTTGCTCAGTTCTTAAGGGGTTAAATATATATATTTTTTAGTCGATCTGTAAATAAATGTATGATCTGTAGAAACGTATAAAATTCTAATTAGCACTTAAATCGGTAAGGGAAGGTAGGGCTTGTCTCTAAAATAACAACCTCACAGAAGTAATTCCTTTACAGTCCCTATCGATAAATGTAAGTCAGGAATCCAATCCTGTAAAGTTTGGATAGGGTCTACCCTTGCGATGTCCGACAGGCAAGGAATATTTCTCACCAGTTGATGCCACACTTGAAGTGCGCTGTCTTGTAGTACATTACAATTGTTTAGCTATGATTTTTCTTGTTCTTTTGGGTCAGTAGTGGTGTATGTCTTGGAGTTCTGGCATGGAAACCTACTGGGCTTACTGAAACCTCAGTGCCTGTTGCCACCAAGTCTTGCTGCAGAATCTGTTCATTGCAAACAGCTGAAAGTCCGTACACTTTGACAATAACCTGATTTTCAATAAGGGTTGAATACTATTCATTACAACTGTATCAGAGGAATAAGCAACTATCAGTTCTACAGAAGTTATTGTGGTTAATGTCAACTTGTACTTTAATAGCGGATTTGTAAATAAATTTGTGATTTGCAGAAATGTATAAAATTCCTGTTTAGTCCGGTCATAATTAGCACTTAAATTTATATAGGATGGCAAGTGTTGTCCCTTATATAAATAATGCCATTTTCAGTCCCTATCAATAAATGTAAGTCAGAAATCCAACCATGTAAAGTTTGGATAGGGTCTGCCCTTGAGATGTCCAACAGGCAAGGAATATTTCTCACCAGTTGATGCCACACTTGAAGTGCGTATCTTGTAGTACATTACAATTGTTTAGCTAATATAGGGGATTTATCTAGCCACGAACTTATGTGCTATGTGTCCAGAGGCTACCACAGCATCCTCCGTATCCACCCATTGTTTTCTAAATTGACTGGAGCACAACAAAAACATTTGTAAAAGAATTGTTGCCTGATGGCAATGTACTAGGTGAAGGACACCCATGCCACCTCTCAACCAATTACAATACAAGATCCCTTTTGCCACTCTTGGTTTTTATGGCCATTAAACTAGCGCAGTAATTTACCTTTCTAATTTAATTTTTTTGTCTTATCTAGATGTTTACCCGAACCTATTGAGCAATGATGGCTTTTGCTATCCACAACACCCATTTAGTCTAGAAAAATAACATCAGGCGAGTGAATTATGACCTCACTAATCACATTTTCTTTTTTAATTAGGAATCATCAAAATGATGAAAACCCCCAAAGAACACTTCTAGGGGGGAAATGCTATCCTGGAGAGAGCAATCTACAAAAACTTGCTACTTCCAAAGATGACAAATTACTTAATGTTACTCGAAAAGAGGCCAAAAAAACTCGAGAGGCTGCAACTGCCGCAGTTAAGGCCACGGAGGAAAAAGAAACAAAAAGGGAACAAAATGCTTCCTGGAGCCACATAAGGGCTAAGCAATGGAGCAAGAGCTTGCTTGATAGCATAGATTCAACAAGTATTTGGAAGCTCAGGTAACTGTTACATGACACAAGTTAAAAAATAATGCATTTTCCCCTGTGTAGGTGTATGTGAAACAGTCTTTTGTTTCAAATATAACAGAAAGCAAATCAAAAACAATAAGTAAAATGTACATTAAACCACCTACGTTCTTAAATGCCTGCTGTAGTGTCACAATAATGTCTCCTACTCTATGTTCTCTGAAATATATTCGGAGAATAAATAAACTCAAGAACTCTTTTCTATCCCCATTGTACCTTTTATCTGGACCCATTTGGGCTTAATATCTGACTGTGTTGATCATAAGAGGAAGATTAGGAGGGAGTTAAACTTTAAAATGTAAAAAAAACTCCCACAAACTTTTTTGTTTTCAAGAATATTCAAGAGTTCCCTCCAGGCCTAATTAGAGACTACTACCTCTGTCTCTCTAACACTCTAGCCCCCATTCACAATATAGTAATTTAACATAGCTCTATGACACCCAGCCCAAGTTGGCTCTTCTCACCTTAAATGCTGCTGGCTGGCTGCTGCAGCAGCTGGTTGGCTGCTGGCAGGCTGGATGCTGTAAACCGGCTGGCTAGCTGCTGTGGCCAGTTGGCTGACAGGTCTCTTTCTTCTCCCAGCAGGCATCTGTTTCTCCTCCAACCCCTTTGTATGTCTGTTTTTCTCTTCCTCAGCCCCTCTTCGTGTCTCATTGCCCACCCCCAGTGCCTCTATGTGCCTCTTTGTCCTCTCAGCCTTCAGTGCATCTCTTTGTGCCCCCAAGTACCTCTGTGTGTCTCTTTGTCCCCCCTCAGCCCCTCTGTGTGTCATTGTTCCCCCCAGTCCTGTTTTATGTCTTGGTGCCCCTTCCAGCCCCTCTGGGTTTCTGTGCTTCCTCCACCTGTGCCCCTCTTTTGTTGCCCCCCCTCCTGTGCCCTTCTTTTGACACCCTCCGCTCTTGTGCTGCTCTTCCCCCCGCTTCCTCTCTTGTGTTCTTCTTTGGACCTCCCTCCCCCCCTTCTGTGCCCTCTTTTGCTCCACATCCCATCGGGCCGTTTTTGGATAGGGGCTGTCCTTAAAATGCCTGACAGACAAGGAATATTTCTTGCCAGTTGATATAATATGTTACAGGTGTTTAGCTAATAAAGGGGACTTATCTGCCCACAGCATATGTGCTATGCATCGAGGGGCTACCACTGTATCCTCCATATCCACCTATTGTTTTCTAAATTGACTGAAGAACAATAAGAGCCTTTAGGAAAGAATGGTTGCCTGATGGCAATGTACTAAGGGAGAGACACCCATGCCTCCTCTCAATCTATAACAATATAAGATCTTTTTTTCCACTCTAGGTTTTTATGGCCATTAAACAGGCACAGCATTTTAATTTACAAATTTACATTTTTGTCTAGATTTTTACTCTAACTTCATTAGCAATTATGGCTTTTCCTATCCCCAACACCCACTTATTCCAGAAAAATAACATCAGGTAAGTAAATTATTACTTTACTAATCACATTTTCTTTCTTAATTAGGAATCATCAAAATGATGAAAAACCCCAAAGACCACATCTAGGTGGAAAGTGGTATCCTGGACAGAGTGATGGGTATGTACAAATAGATCTACAACCTCATTATTCTGATACTTCCAAAGATGACAAAATACACCATGTTACTCCAACAGAGGCCAAAACAACTCAAGAGCATGCAACAGCCCTAGTTAAGACTGTGGAGGAAAATTAAACTAAAAAAGGAAAAATGCTTACTGGAGCCACATGCTTTAATGTAGGCAGGGTGTTCTTTTCAGCATAAGCTTCATTTTTCTTCCTCCAGACATACTGCTGATCCATTGGGCTGAAAAGTTCCAGTTTTGTTTCATCGCTCCACAGAACTGAATCCCAAAAGCTTATCTATATGATTTTGAGTATATTGGAGATGACTTTTCTTGTGCTTTTGGGTCAGTAGTGGTATGTCTTTGAGTTCTGGCATGGAAACCTGCATTTGGTACTCGCTTTACTGGGCTTACTGAAACCTCAGTGCCTGTTGCCACCAAGTCTTGCTGCAGAATCTGTTCATTGCAAACAGCCGAAAGTCTGCACATTTTGACAACAACCTGATTTTCAATAAGGGTTGAATAATTTCCATTACACCGGTATCTGAGGATGAGCAACTATCAGTTCTGCAGACGTCATTGTGGTTAATGTCAACTTGTACTTTAATAGTGGATTTGTAAATAAATGTGTGATTTGCAGAAATGTATAAAACTCCTGTTTAGTCCGGTCATAATTAGCCATTAAATCTGTAAAGCAATGTAAGGCTTGTCCCTAAAATAACAACCTCAGAAGTATTGCCATTTACAGTCCCTATCCATAAATGTAAATCAGGAATACTATCGTGTAAAGTTTGGATAGGGGCTGCCCTTGAGATGTCCGACTGGCAAGGAATATTTCTCACAAGTTGATGCCACACTTGAAGTTACAAGTGTTTAGCTAGTATAGGGGACTAATCTGCCCACAACTTATGTGCTATGCAGAGAGGGACTACCACTGCATTCTAAGTATCCACCCATTGTTTTCTAAATTTACTGGAGCTCTCTAAAAGCATTTAGGAAAGAATGGTTGCCTGATGGCAATGGGAGAGACACCCATGCCGCCTCTCAATCTATTACAATATAAGATCCTGTTTGACACTCTAGGTTTTTATGGCCATTAAAATGGCACTGTATTTTAATTTACAAATTTAAATATTTGTCTTATCTAGATGTTTACCCTAAATTCTTTAGCAATGATGTATCTTCCTATCCCCAACACCCATTTTTTCCAGAAAAATAACATCAGGCGAGTGAATTATGTGACTTCACTACACTAATCACATATTCGTTCTTAAATAGGAAACATCCAAATTATGAAAATCCCCAAAAAACACCTCTAGGGAGAAAGTTTTATCCTGGACAAAGCCATAGGTATTTATAACTAGATCTACAACCTTATATTCTGGTTCTCCCAAAGATAACAAAATATCCAATATTGCTCCGAAAGAGGCTAAAACAACTCAAGAGGCTGCAACAACCCCTAGTTAAGGCCTCCCACTCCTCCTGTGCCCTCCTTTTGCCACCTCCCATTTTTTTTAGCCTCCCTGACCTTCTGTGCACTCTTTAGCCCCCCTCCCTCTCTCCTTCTGTGCACTCTCTCTCCTTCTGTGCACTCTTTCTGTGCACTCGCTCTCCTTCTGTGCACTCTTTAGTCTCCTTCCCTTCCCCATGCTTTTATTTAGCTTCCATCACCTTCTGTGCACTCTTTAGCCTATCACCCCTCCACTCTTTAGCCCCCCTCCCCTCCACAGTTGAAGTGCATATCTTGCAGTAAGTTAGAAGTGTTTAGCAAGTATAGGGGTCTTATGTGCCCACAACTTATGTGCTAGGTGTCTAGGGGCTACCACTGCATTTTCCACATCCACCTATTTTTTTCTAAATTGACTGGAGCACAATAAAAGAATTTAGGAAAGAATGGTTGCCTGATGATGATGCACTAGGAGAGAGACACTCATGCTGCCTCTCAACCTATTACGATATAAGGTCATTTTTGCCACTCTAGATTTTTATGGCCATTGAACTGGCACAGTATTTTAACTTTCCAATTTTAATTTTTAAGTTATCTAGATGTCTACCCCAACATCTTTTAGTAATGATGGCTTTTTCTTTTCGCCACACCTACTTATTTCAGAAAAATTACGACAGGCGAATTAATTATGTGACTTCACTAATCACATATTCTTTCTTAATTAGGATACATCAAAATGAAGAAAAACCCCAAAGCACACTCCGAGGGGGGAAATTGTATCCTGAGCAAAGCTGTGGGGTTGTACAAGAAGATCTAGAAGCCTATTATTCTGCTACTCCCAAAGATGACACATTACTCAATGATATTCCAAAAGTGGACAAAATAACTCAAGAGACTGCAACATGCTTTGAAACCATTGTAAAGGCAGTGGAGCAAAATGGAATGAAAAATGAAAAAAATGCTTATGTAGATAGCCATCCCGAGATCACAGTTCTAGAAGAATATATTTCTTTTGTGTGCCCAGTTTTATCTACTGAACCTCTTACTAGTGAACTATCAGAGGAGCTGCCAGTAAACCCTGTTCAGTCACAGTCCACTCTGCTTTGCCAATCTGAGTCAATTGATTTAGATCATGAGCAGTCCGTCACAGGTGCAGAACAAGAAATTCTTCCAGAGGGCCCTGTTTCTAATACTGAACCTGACACAAGTGGATTAGCAGAGGAGCTACCAGTAAACCCTGATCCATTCCAGTTTACTTTAGTTTCTCATGAGGCTACAAATCTAGCATCTAAGCAGTCAATCACAGGACTAGAAGAGGATATTCCTCTAGAGTGCCCACTTCATCCTACCCAGCCTTTGACTAAGGAATTGTCCCAGGAATTGCCAGTAAATTCTACCAGTCTGGTTTATCACACTGAGCCTTATTTTGATTCCACCAATTTTTTAGCAGGTGAAGTGCTTATAACAAATAAAAAGGGACCCACTGGGCAGAGGTATACTGAAAATAAAGTTATCCAGCCTGAAGTACATGTGAGCTCTGTCATTAAACCTGAAGAGCAATCTGTGCCAGTTATTAAGCCTGCTCAGGAAAAAGAAGGTGAACCACCTGCTAAAACTAATGTATACCCAGAGCAGACCACAGAGAGCCAAGCGCAAACTGCTGAGGCTGTACCTCAAACAAACCCAAATATCAAAATAGGACAAATAGCAAGGATATGCTACAGCCGTAACTTTCTGCTCAGTTTTCGGATTATAAAACAGAAGCCACCTAGCCTTCCAGATATACCTGACATACAACTACATATGACTAAGAAAACCCAACTGCAACCAGTGGATTTGTCACAACAGGCTAGTTGCAATGTTTCACACCCAACTGCAAGATTATGCCGCCCTGCTAGGGCTAAACCTAGATTTCTGGATGGACTGGGTCCAAGAAGGTCCCAGCAAGAACCTCGCAAAATAATAGCATTAAATCAGAACATTCACCTACGTAAAGCTGAAAATGCTTGGAAACCGGCTATGAGAAGAACGAATGAAAATGCCACTAGTGTCCAAGCTCAGGAATTGTTCTGCAAAGTGCGCGGTATCCTGAATAAGGTGACTCCTGAGACATTTCAACAACTAACCAGCCAAGTGGCAGACCTCTCTGTACACACAGAATATCAGCTCAGAGGTGTCATTGAACTACTATTTGAAAAATCAATATCTGAACCAAATTATTCATCTATATATGCCAACATGTGCCACTGTCTAATGAGGCTGGAAGTTCCAACAGAAAGAAATCCTAAAATCTGCATTAACTTCCGCAGGCTGCTGCTAAATCTTTGCCAGGAGGAGTTTGAAAAAGGTGAAGATGGTGACGAGCGAATTCAAAAACTTCAGACGACACTGGAAACGGCTACATCACCTACAGAAAAGGCTCAAGTAAAGGAGGAATTGACCAACGCTCGTAATAAAGCACGCAAGCGCGCTCTAGGGAACATCACATTGATAGGGGAACTATTTAAACTGAAAATGCTCTCAAAAAACATCATACATGATTGCCTTACCAAACTTCTGAATAGGCAAAGTGAGGAATCAATGGAGAGCTTCTGTCGTTTGCTAACATCAGTTGGAAAACACATGGAACATGGACTGCCTCGTATGGATGACCATTTTAGCAGTATTGATAAACTCATCAAAAGCAGGAAAACATCTCCCCGAATTAGATTCATGATGCAAGATGTAGTGGATTTGAGGATTAACAACTGGGTGCCTCGCCGTGAAAATCTGGGTCCAAAAACAATAGCTCAGATTCATAAAGAAGCAGAATTGGATAGACAGAAACATGCAGAGAAACAATAAAAGATAACAATATTTGATAATACACCATCTTCAATGCAATGTCAGCTGCAACTGAGCACTGCTCACTATTTTTACTTTTATAAATAAAAATGTTCAAAAATATTCAAAGTGCATAGTTGTTGTAACATAAAACTCGAGGAACGAATGTTTCATGCCCAAGTCATAGTTAAAGGCAGTGTTGCTGAGCAGTGGAGTCTCCAGCATTCATATTTATTGGGCACATGGGAGACAAAAGTAGGGGGGTAATTATAAAACATACATATTATTTATTTTTATATATTTATTTGCCCACTCTTGCTTACCTTCTGTGCAGGCGGGGGTGGGGGGAATAATTCATTCCATGGTGGTCCAGTGGGTCATTGGTGGTCCAGTGGGCTGCTGGTGGATTCACCGATGCTCCAGTGGGCTGCCGCATATTCTCACAGTTCTGGAAATCTGTGCTTTGACTCTCTCACAGAGTGCCAGAACTGGAAGAGGGTGCAGCTGCTCCAGGGACTCAATTTCTAAGAGCCAGCAAGGAGATTATAAATATATATATATATATGGTTCACTGGTTTTGCTCCTCTTCCAAAATTGTGTTTCACAATTTTGGCTTGAGTGGTGTGTGTATTTGTGTTAAGCAATGTATTCACTATCCACTTACTTCAGGTGGAAGGGGTTTTCATCCACACTTTTTTTCCCTACCACAAGTCTTTTGGTATGTGTATGTGTATATATATATATAAAAATCACAATAGTTTCTGGCACTCATCCCATAACAAAAGCATTAATTCAGCAATGACCAGGTGCCTCTCCGTGCAAAATATACAAATGGAACAAATTGAGAGCACTCATTGGATT